ACACACACACACACACACACACACACACACACACACACACACCTCCTCGCCCACCCTGTCGGCAGAGCCCTCAACCTTTCGTTTGAAAGCGTGTTTTGCGTTTATTTTTCCGCTACAAGGCTGGCGTGTTTTTCGTCAGCCGGTTAGCGCGGCCATTGCTACTTCAAAACACTCCCACACATGCGTGCTTTTGTCTTCTTTTGCTACCGTTTCTGTCATTGATCCGGAGAAAATCTTGGCCTCCCCCATGACGCCCCTTCACGGGGTTCCGGTTCATAGCATGTAGAAGTGTTTTGAGGTTTCAACCGCACTGAGACTGATGTCTTTGCATTGGTCAGCCGGTTAGCGTGGTTGATGCTTAGATGCACATACACACACACCCTCCCAACCAGATTTGGACCTACGAGGGGAGACACGTGAGCAACCCCCGCTTCCAGAACCTTCGAGCGGACTACCTGAGCGGCCGGGCCATCTCTCTCTCGGAGGATGCGGTCGCAATCCTAGATCGCTCTTCCCCCAAGTGCGTCCGCGTGTGTGACGTGTCCACGGGCCGACCGCTGGTGGACGGAAGAGCCGCGGAGGTCGTGCACGAGTGCGAAGTGGTGAGGGGTAGGAAGGTGGGGTACTCAGTATTATTGTTTTTGTTGGGGGGAGGAGGGCGTCAAATCGGATGTCGTCCACGAGTGAATTGCGGTGACCGGTAAGGGTACTCAGTGACGTTGGTTTGGGGAGGGGTTCGTGAGTCCGGAGGTCTTGCACGAGGGTAGGTGGTGCGAGTCGGAGGAGTTGCGGTACTCACAAGCGTTGGTTTGGGGAGTGGGGGGTTGTGAAATCGTGCACGGTGCTATACATGTACAGTTGACCCCGCGTTAAGGGCGCTCGCGTTAAATAATCTCCCCGCTTTAAGAAAAATATTTTTGCTGAGCATCAGGGGGCTTGGCAGAATGAACGATAATGGGGTACCCCCATTTTCTCTGCTGCGTACCCCCCTTTTGTGTCCTGCGAGCCGCTCCTTGCACGCACCACGCACCACAGTGAGTGCAGAAGTAGCGACTCACAGACAGCAGAAGTGGTAGCGAGCGGTCTGCTGCTTCAGCTGCAACTGGGTGTTGGTATGGATGGATTCCTCCCATCTACCGGCGGTCCATCTGATGCCGCCAACAAAAAAGTCGTGCATAATCTCGTCCCTCACCGAGGGCGAGGTCATCTCTGGCTTGGAAGACGTTCGATCCTATGCATATTTGTACGCGAAGAGAAGGGGTGACGAGTTCCGTGAGACGCAGCACCTTCTTTCGAAGACCGTTCATTCGTTTACTCATGAAACTCAACAGAGCCGTAGAGCCAAGCCACGGGGGGGAGGTTCAGGGAACTCTTCGCGAGATGTGGAGGAAAAAGCCGTCGGGGTAGCTTTTGGTCTCCGCCGGGACAGTTATGTGTACTGGTGTTCCTCAATGCGACGCTGAAATACGCTCGTTTGTTTTTTGTTTCACAAGAATGAGATATATACCGTATATGTCTACTTGGACTTTCCCCCTTCTTCCGCTGCCGGCTATGCAGTACATTCGTTGGCCAAGAACAAACTGGTGTACTGTAGTTGTTTTCAACACGTCCCCGACTGCTGTACATCTCATTATCAGCATTGTTAATATGTTGGACGTCAACAAACGGTTGCCAGTCGTCTCGGCGATACTGACTTTTTGTACCGCGCCCTTCCGTTGCAGTAGACGTGTAGTTTGAGGTATGGCATGCCTCCATTGGCTTCGGGGATGGTGAGCTATCGTCCCCTGAAATTGAAGGACGCAACCCCGCTTGAAGGACGCTTTTTTTCGGGAAAAGCCATGTGCGTCCTTAAAGCGAGGTCGACTGAATGGTGAAGGGGTTTGGGGGGTACTCAGTCATATCGGTTTGGGAGCTGGGCTGGTGAGTCGGAAGTTGTGCACGAGTGCGTAGTAATGGGTGGGGGGGATGGAGTACTCCGTATGATTAGTTTGGGGGCAGGGCTTGTGAGTGCGGAGGTCGTACGCAAGAGTACGGAGCGGGTAGGGGGGGGCGGGAGGGGACAGGACGGACGCGGTAAAGGTCAAGGGCCTAGTTGGAAACTCCAAGGTGTGTAGTTCCACTTGCCCGGGACACAGGTTCTTGATGTTGGAGGATTCACTCGGCCCGCACATTTCGCTCTTCCTCCTTTGCGACTACATCGGGGTGGGGTTGATAGTAGAGAGAGAAGAAAGGTGTACAGACTAGCACGGAGAGGTGGGGGGGGACGAGAATCGGTCGGGGGGGGGGCATTTTATTGTCAGATTCCGTCATTGCAGGGAAGTCTCGCGTCGAATCTGCCAGGTCAATCGGCCCGTAGCGCCCCTTTACCCCGGCTTGTGCGTGCACTCAGACGAGACAGACAGACAACAATCAGATGACGGCAGAAGATCCTTTGCCCGCATTTGGTTCTGAATCTCATAGCGCGTGCCCTTGCTGCCCCGTCTATCTCCTTCAGGAGGAAGTGTTCTTGAGTCAATTCTCCAAGGGGCTGTCGGAGCGACGCCTCGCCTTCATCGACAGGAACAAGGAGCTGTGGCTGTGCCCCGTCGTTCCAACCCCTGTGGGGAGGGGCTCCGTGCCTGCAAAACACAAGCTGCACACACAGGTAGGTACTGCAAGCCCTCCGCGTTGGAGAGCCCTCTGTACTGTACTTGTACATCAAGCACGTGCACGTGCTTTTGTCTTCCTGCCGTTGTCGTTTTTTCATTCGGCGCTGAGGGGAGCGGTCTCGGAAAATCAGACTGTACACGATTAAATACGCGACCGCTGTTCTGGATGTCGTTGCAGGTGGAGAGTGCGGCCTGGAACGATAAGGGTGACATCCTCACGGCCATCGCCGACGGCCGTCTCATCACGTGGTACTACCCCAACGCCGTGGCCATCGACCGAGACCTGCTGGGGCTAGCGTCAACGTCGAGAGACGCGGCGGATTTCGGCAAGGTAAAGCCCCTCTTTCCTTTCTTCTGGCCCGCCTCCGATTGTACTCGCACACCACGCACAGTAGCGAAGAACGGCGTGGCTAGAAGACGTAGCTCTGTCCAGTGCACTGTTTTTCAAACATCCCGATTTGCGCCGCTACCTATCAAAGCTTCCCCACAGCCACCACACGACGGGGGCACCGTGGAATAGACAGAGACATCACTGGTCGACGAATCCTCGAACCAGCCTCGCCATATGCACGTGTCGTATTTATGACCGGTCGGCACGCCATCCTAATGGACACAGAGTCCAGTCTTTGTCAGCCTCTACTGTTCAGTTTTAACAGTGGGTCACACTCCTTCCTTGGATTGGATTATTTCAAGGCTGTTTGGCTCTGTCTTCATTGTTGATTGAAGATGTTTTCCGAAGCGGGATGTTGGAGTGATCTGACATGATGGTGATGATGTGATGACATCGTGCTTGGCCCACAACCTCATCCCTTTGTAGCACTCCTCGTATTCTCTTCATCTCGACCTCCATACAAACCAAAGCTTTCTATTTCCCCCGCCCACGCCTTCCTGGTTATCCGTGTGAACCGTACCTAGCCTGGGCCGGCGAAAACTCGACATGTCGCTCCGCCCGAACATTGCAGGGGTGCGAGTTCAACAGTCTGAGGACTACGGCATGCGTTGCCATGAGTACGTGACCCCTCCGTTTGCTCCCCTCATTGTACCCTCCACCCCTTGTGCTCCCGACCTTGTTCTCCCCCCCCCTGCTCTTGCCATCGCCCCGACTAGCACGATCTTCCCATCCCCCTATCTGTCTACCATCTCCCCCCCCCCTCAGTCTCCCAGAGTAATTTCTTTCTACGGTGCCAAGGTGATGGTGAGAAGAGCGGACGGGGCTTTGCTGAGCGCGGCCGTGGCCCCTTACCCGGCCATGCTCTACGCCTCCGTCCGGGGACAGCGCTGGGAAGAGGCCGTCCGACTCTGCAGGCATGTATCAGTGTTTGTGTCTATGAGTGTGAATGTGAAGGTCGGACGGTTCGAAATAGACCAATTTGGCTGTACTTGCTCTAGAAATCGTAGTCAGATATGAAGGCGTCAGGCGTTGCACGCAGTTGTGTATCGATACCGTACCGACGGAGCTCGATGTAAGAGATCCATGTACATGTAGCTGTGCTTTTTTGAAACATTGGAATCAGATAGACTAGCCTACGACAGGCTTCGTCAGTCCTTGACAAGGAGAAAGTAGCCGTAGTTTCTGCAGTGGGAGAGGTGCACCGTAAGACCTACTGTATCTCCTGTCCGCTTTTCGTTGGTTAATACTGCCTCGGTACAAAGTGTACTGAGGTCGCACATATTGGGATGTTTTTTGTAGCTGACATGGTTCGCGTTTGTTCGTGTTGCTTCTTTTTCTTGTTTTGCCGTTGGTACAGGCTGGTGCAGAGCCGCGAGCTGTGGGCGTGTATGGGGTGCATGGCCCTCAACGGCAAGAACTTACAGCTAGCCGAGGAGGCCTTGGCCGCTATACAGGAGGTAGGTGACACCTTGACCACAAAAAAGTTGAGCACTCATAAAGCATGGCGTATTTGGTCTCCGTGATTGTCATGAAACTGGGAACGTTTCAAATCTATAGGCAACTTTTTTCATGCTCTTGATCTGAGTAGCGCGGAGTTGCAGCTGGGCGAGGGGGCCTTGGTTGCCGCGAAGGAGGTTCCGTACTGCTGTGCAGTAAATATTTTCACAATATCAACAAATATAACTAAGTTAGTTGTTTGCCAGACAACTACCGGCTAGTTGCTTGTATTCACCTAATTGCGCACGCTCCTAGAAGAGTAGTTGTCTACAGGCAACTAGGTGCGCACGCTCCTGGAAACGTAGTTGTCTGGCAAACAACTACCAACTACAGTAGTTGTACAGGGTGTGAAAAATAGTGTTTGGACGGTAGTGCGGTATTTTGCATCATCGCGCTCTGTGTTCATTCACCGACCAACTAAACCTGCGATGCTGTGTGCTCCTTTCTGCTGAGGCGCTACCATCAGCTCACCACGCAGAATCAAATCTTCTGCGATTCACGCCTGGAGTCCGTTCGGGTACTGTTTCAGCACTATGTATCTGCTTTGAATGTCACCCACTGGAGTAGGCGAACTTCACGCTGACGGAACGAGCTTGAATGATGTCTGGGGCGGAGTTCTATTAAGTCTTCAAATGGGGAGATACTGAACACCTTCAAACGGGATATACTGAACACCTTCAAACGGGAGATACTGAACACCTTCAAACGGGAGATACTGACCACCTTCAAACGGGAGATACTGAACACCTTCAAACGTGAAATACTGACCACCTTCAAACGGGAGATACTGAACACCTTCAAACGGGAGATACTGAACACCTTCAAACGGGAAATACTGACCACCGCTCGCTGCACCGATCATTCGGCCGCTTTAAAACAACAAGGAATGAACATGCCAGTTTTTTTGTTACGAAGCAATGATGAAGTGTCCCAAGGACGACGTACACACAACACACAAGTCTACCCGACATTGCAGGTCGACAAGTTGGAGTTCGTGCAGCACGTGTTGAAGGTGTCTAGCGAGGAGGGCCGAAACGCCGAGCTCGCTTTGTATCGCCGGTGCCCAGAAGAAGCGGAGTCCATCCTGCTCCAGGCGTCCCCGCCGCTCATCTACCGCGCCATCAAGCTCAACGTAAGTCTCTCCCCATCGCTTTGAGCACCACCTGGTTTGTTGTTCCCCCCCACGCCCCCCCCGGTGTTTGCCATCGGGGTTGGGTTTTCGTCGCTTGGCAACGACGTTGTAAAACAAGCCCCCCCATCGGTGTTTGCCATCGGGATTGGGTTTTCGTCGCTTGGCAAAGACGTTGTAAAACAAGCCAATTCAGGCTTCCGCCTTTTTTGTACCTCTGTTTTTGTTTTGGCGGTAACAATAATGGTGGTCGAGTAGATCATGTTGTGCGGGTCGAGAACCCTCACTCCGCGCAGGAGATCGCTTAGAGCACCACCTGGTTTGTTGATCCCCCCCACGCCCCCCCCGGTGTTTGCCATCGGGGTTGGGTTTTCGTCGCTTGGCAACGACGTTGTA